CCCCCCCCCTCCCGCCGCCATACATTACGAACGCAGCCTTAGTCGACTCCACAAACCACAGGACGCCCAGGTTACAGGAACGATAGAACAGGTCGGTATGCCGAGATAAGTTGCCTTATAATCACACCTAGGGTTATGTAGTACATACCTGAACATTCTAGCCATCATTTCCAATGTAGCTGTAAAAAAAATAATAAAAAAGTGACCGAGTTGGTATCGAGTCTACAAAACAATCCGTGATTGGACTTGACGCGGCTTGGCTGAGCGGGAAAGCCATTTGAGTTTCGTGTCATCATCTTCTTCCCATTAAATCGAAATCTATTCCAAAGCTAGCTAAAATCGAAGTGTGAGGACTAGTTCCGTTTATCACATTTTTAAAAATCTAAACAGAGTTAGTATTTTTGGATTGATGGAAGCCAGAAACCCAGATGTCTTACAATTATGAAAACGCGCATAATCCATAGTACCCAATTCTAGAAAGATAACTGAGATGGATGAAGAAACACTGAGTAGAGATGCCAACTTTATATCCGTCTGTTGGGTGCTTATCTTACTCGTTCCTTTAGTTTTATTTCAGTGTTTTTTTTGTTTTTGTTTYTTTGTTTTTGTTTCACCTGTTAAAACGATGCTTTGAAATTCCCGCTCAAAAGCGTTGCGTGCCACTTTGTATTCGGACATGTTGGAGATGGATGGCCTGAGAAAGACAAAAGTGAAATAATCGCAACTTGGTTTGCTTTGATAAATACTTATGAACAAATGAAAATGATAATAGAAAGGTAGGAAAATAGGACGAGGACGAGGACGAGGACGAGGACGAGGACGAGGACCTACGAGACCCTACCTGTTTGCTGTCATCAAATCGAACTGCAGAGTAGCCTTTTTCATCCTAAGGTAAACAATAGCAAACAAAATTAATCCATCACGAAAAAGAAACATCTAAGAACTACAAATCCCATGATGCACTGCGGACTTACCAGTCCTTGAAATGAGAAGCGATGTTAGATGGGATGCTGTGTACTGTCACATTCTCACCCTTCTGGATGGTGCCTTCATCTATATTCACAATGATTATGTCTCCCATCTTAAAAAAAATAACATTAAAACATGAATAAAAATGCAACTGTATACATATACATTAAATATGCAGCTATTTTTAAAAAGGTTTGTGAAGGTTGTAACATGCAACATGTAAAATGCAACAAGCAGCATGCAACATGAAACGTGCAACATGCAACATGAAACAAGCAACATGAAACAAGCAACATGTAACATGCAACATGCAACAAGCAGCACGCAACATGCAACGTGCGACATGAAACAAGCAGCATGCAACATGCAACATGCAGCATGCAACGTGCGACATGCAACATGCAACATGCAAAACCAACACCAACGTTTTTGAAATAGCAATATACGAGTATTTCAACCTACAACAACACTTTTTGGGGGGTTTGACGAGGTCCATTAAAATGAAACCAGTTCAGTGTTTGATAGCCACTGGTTCTATCACAGTTCAGCCCCCTATTATCAATCATCTCATTAGAGGTACCATATTCTTCGTTTGCACGTTACGTCATCGCGGCCATGTTGGTAGCATTTAACAAAAGATTTCTCATTAGCATCCACTGTTAACGGTACCACAATGGCCGCCATGTTTTTGTCTTTTAACTCTCTTGGGAATGCTTGCAAACTATCAATATATTTTACTTGAATACATTATATGCAAACGAAAATTACCTCGTGTGTTGTCATGACTCTTTCAATCTGGTTTTTCAAGCAGATATGACATCCCAATATGTAGACACCAGGGGCTTCGACTAAATCTATGAGATTACTATAAAAAATTGAACATAAATTAGCAAAATTTTGTACAATGCCATTGGAAACGTCTTTTGACACGTACTTTGGTAGAACAGGCACGTAGGTCCAACTCCAGGAAAATGGCTGGATGAAAGTGAAGATACTCTAGAAGTAAACAAAGAGAGATTAAACGGTTAGGTGGAACACTCGTTGAAGAACGACTGAAGGAGCATAAGGAATAAACTAATAATCAAATGGAAGGATGGTTGAAGAGAAGAGGGGCCAATTGATCGTTGTATCGATCGCTGCACGAAAATTATGGTCAATGAAACCCAACGTTGAAAGAACTAACGTAGACAATGAACGATCGTAAATATCAGATTGGCAAAGTAAATTTTAAAATGAAAATTTTGAACTAAATTCTTGTCTCTCRTTTAAAAAAATGGTTGCTCTAGTGTTCAAGCAACACAATTTCTCCACAGCAAAGAAAATGTATTCTCAAAGAGTTAATGAAACAGGGGAGGGGTGCGCTGGCTATGCGCCGCATCCCAGTCACCAATGTGGTCATATCGCAGGTTTGTTCCCTCAGCGTTCGCCATCATAGGCGAGTAGATTTGTTTGTTGGTTCTCTCCTGTGCTTTGAAGGTTTTTTATCCGGGTTCTCCGGTTTTCCTCCCTCCGAAAAAAAAAGAAAGAAAGAAAGAAAGAAAGAAAGAAAGAAAGAAAGAAAGAAAGAAAGAAAGAAAGAAAAAACCAATTCAATTTGGTGTCAAGCACTTCAATACGAAGAGCCTTTGGCTCAAGAGACTAAGCAATCACTTCCTGCGCGATCCACCTAAAACATTTACATGTACAAACCTCTATTATGAGAGTCAGCAAGGAATACTTGGAGGACACGAAAACGAGTCGTTTCTGGGTCAAGACGCAACTGATGAGAAGCAATACGTCATCCACGGAAAAACAAAGAAATGGGTAGCGAAGGTCGAGATCTACAATCCTCAATTCTAAAACAAGAAATAATGGCAATAATTATTCAATCAAGAAAACTTTTCATCAAGGCGGTTTTGGTGGGAAAAAGTGGGAAAGGATATTGCAAATTCATAGCTGTACTGTAGGCATTCTGCATCTTGACATGCTGTGAGCCTTTTCAATTTAACGACTTGTCGTACTGCATACATGCTGTAAGTCAGTGCTGTACGTTTCCCATTCATACACTAAAAGCACTTCTTATGGGAAGCCATTTCAATGTAGCAGCATGTCTTACCACATATTATGTGCTGCATTACTGAAGTCAGATTATACATGCCACATGTGCAAGGTTATTTTACCTGGTTCAACGGCCGGCTTCAAGAAGTTAGAAACGCCATTTAAATTGAATTCCTGTTGCAAAAAAGAAAAGAGAAATCTTGCTTGATTCATAAGGACAAAAGAGAACGCATCTCAATCAATCAGTGGAATATTTTCAGTCAAGTCACTTACGATCCCCAAAGATCCCGGTGGAGGAGTGGGTACCATTGCTAGCTGAGAGATGAACTGCATGAGGGACGTCCTGCATGACAGGGAATCCATCTTGAGATCCTTCACCACACTGAAGAGTAAAAGGCATCATATTTGAATATTTATTTACCAAGTATATGTACAGCCTCCTCCCTTAGGCTCTATTACCCGGGGGGGTACTCCCCTATATTTGCTATACGGGTATGTGCCGCCCTATAGGGTATGGTTTTTCGGCTTTTGGGTCTGGGATAGGGTATCATTTTAGTCTTGGATAGGGTTAACGATTTGGTCGTTTTTGTCTGGCGAATAGGCTACTCTTTCTGCCTACCAAAAACAATAAAAACGTTAGTAAATATTGATTGCAATCTATTGAATAACCGTCTTTTCCGTCTTTTAGTATAGGATAGGGTGTACAATTCTTAGTTTTAGTCTGGGGTAGGGTATGTTAAATCAAAATTTTAGGTCTAGGATAGGGTCAGGGTTTTGAGGTCCTGGCGGCACACCCCTACCCAAGTTGGGGTGGTAGTACCCCCCCGGGTGGGGAGAGCCTTGGGACAAATAACAACTGAACCTAGATCTCACACCTCACACTTGCTGGGTAAATACAAAAGCAAATGTTTGTGTAGTGCGTGCGTGTAAAAATAAAAGATTCTTAAAATGGCATCAATGATTCTAAAAATAACATCGAAGACTGCTTCTCATGATGGGAAACAGGGGTTCCTTCACTTAGTATATTTTCTCTTGAAATCATTCTATGTGGCAACCCACATTACTTTACCATGCCAAATATAGAGAAGATATAACTAGCTAAAAACATGTGTGAGCTGCGTCGGTGTTTCTAATGAAACAGTAATGATAAAAGGGTAAATTATACACCGTGAAAAGATGAAAAAACTTACTGACGTTTCGGACGCTAGTCCTTCGTCGGAGTCTTTCTCTTTTACTCCGACGAAGGACTAGCGTCTGAAACGTCAGTAAGTTTTTTCATCTTTTCACGGTGTATAATTTACCCTTTTATCATACCAAATATACACTCCCTACATACTAAACCCTACTCTACCATAATCTACAGTGTAATGACACTCCAAACAATAGGTTTTAACACCATTGTATTAACAAAACTTTTCTACAATGACTTGGTTTACCTTGATAAACAGTCTTTGAAAATGTTGAAGTATGGATATTTGGATATCAAGCAACAGCACAATGGAACATAACATTTGACATATTCTGAATCTTTTATGGCTGAAGAAAATTACAGAAACAAGAATGTCATCGTTAGTGAAGGTCAACCAATGAAAGAAGACCTTTGAGTGTCTTTGTCAGATTTGTATTTCTTTGTCGTTTAATAACAAAAATATTGATCACTAGCCATTACTAGTGGGAGTACATTGTTTTGTTGAATTCAACAAGAGAATAAAAAAGAAACTTAAAGTCAGTGTAAAAGCGTGTGCAACAATTTTGACATTTCAAACGCTAGTCCTAGTCAGAGTAAAGAGAAAAATACAAATATTCTCGACTCTCACATCCCCATAATGCCTTGCGTTTTTGGGGGGTAACCAATCAAAAAACTGTCCCAGACTGAAAGGTTCCTTAATAGAATTTATACTATACCTGCTTTTATCTGTACAATACTGATTATCAGTTTATTCCAAGTTATTTTTGCGTGTACAGATCATCAAGAGTTTTGCTCTTACAGAAAATGTATTAACTTACAAAAAAATGTTTAAAATTTACCTTAAACAAATTCAAGCTTCTATCTTTTTCTGTTTTTTACTTAATCTTCATTTTATCTTTGGATACCAAACAAGGTATTTTCAACATTGTCCGATCAGCCTTCAGCAAAATAAGTGGGTTCTTACCCTCTGGTTACCCCCAAAAGATGCAAAGGATTATAGGGATGTGAAAGTCGAGAATTGAGTGTGTTACACCCATTTTCAAAATAACTTGACCTAGACGGCTCCATATTTGTCTGGATCAGGAGTTTTGGCTTCCATCACTATTGAATTACATTTTCTTAAACATTTTGATATTTCAATTAACATGCATAATTACGATTGGAATTAAGATACTTTGTCCATTTCAGGCATGAGAAAGGTTGTCTCTGATTGGTTGAGCGGGAGCTTTTTTAGCCAAAACTCCAAACATCTGAAGCCGTCTAAGTCACATAATTTCAAAAATGGGTTTAAGCCTGTGTCTATACTTACCATTCTCGTCACAACTTGGATCCATGTACACAAGGTCATAAGAACCTGGTACATTTTCATTCTAAAAAGAAAAGGAAAAAATCACCAAATAGTTGCAGCAGCTACGGAGTTTATACACCTATTTCAAAAATTGTTGTCACACCAAGAGCCTCAAGTAACAAGCCAAGGCTCCAGAGAACGTCGGTACTTTTAATTATAATTCATTTATTCATGGAACATGCAAGTGGCTATAGCTCTCAACTAATTATCATCTCAAGCAGCCTTGCTTGGAGCAATTTGTGAAGTCAATAAATGAAAATGCACCATGAATAAACTAATTACAGCTAAAAGTACAGGCATTCTCTGTGGTCTTGGCTTGTTGCTTGAGGCTTTTGGTGTGAGAACGATTTCTAAAATAGGTGTATGTGATGCATGCTGATAATGTCAACAAACAAGAAAAGAGATGAAACAGCAGAGGAAAAGGGAGAAAAGGTTACCTCTTTTGCCATATATGGTTTGTATATGCTCAAACAACAAGAATATGTCCTGTTTCCTGAAATCACATAATTAATAAACATAATTAACCAATCAGTATCAATTTTCTTGGAAAAATAGACATTACTATCATATTTAAAGCTTGTTTAGAACACATTAGAGCAGTAGCTAGGAAGCATGGGTGGTGTGCAGCACATCACCAAAGCAACCCAGGTTCAATTCCAAGACATGGTATTGTACATGTATGTGAGTAGAGTTGTTTGTTGGTCCTCTCTTCTGCTTTAAGGRTTTTTCTCCAGGTTCTCTCGTTTTCCTCCCTTCATAAAAATCATGCAATAGTCCCCATTCACAGTTCCCTGTGCCATCTTGAAAGGTAGCCGTGCCTTTGCATCGAAGCAAGACAAACGGTGAGCTTGCAATGATATAGACAAGTGAATAATAATTGTCTAAGGTGTTAATAAAGGTCTCTATCATTTCGAGCTCACCGTTCGTCTCGTTGCCATACAAAGGCATGGCTACCTTTCAAGATGGCACAGGGAACTGTGAAAGGGACTATTAATAAATTAACTACAAAAGCTAAAAATAAGCCTTTGCCTTATACAGCAATTACCAAATTGATGTCAAATAAACTTTACAAAATTTACTGTACCGTCAATATCTGTCAGGACCAAATGATGAACTGTTTCATCTTTAGGCTGCTCATAGACAAATCCACCCTCTACATTAAAAATTAGATTGATATTGATATTGATGTCAATAGAGAGTTTAAGAACCCCTTGGAACATCTCCTACCTACATCCCTGAGTACAAAATAGGAGGATCCTTAGTAGGGCACTTAGTAGGAACCTTCTGTAAATCACTCAGTGACATTGGTTATCCTCTATAAATATTACAATAATATATACAATATATATATAATAAATAATAATAATAATAATGATAATAATAATGATAATAATAATAATAATTACAAACAATTACAACAATTACAAATACAGACAGGGAAGTGAACTTTCTTATAGAACGATGTCAGAAATGGATTTTAAGCCAGAACGTTAATATAGTCAAGAAGTTCTATGAATATGCATAAACTGAAGAAAGGACTGTAAAAAATGATGGACTTAACCAGCCTAGACTTAGTCCGCTTGTCAATGTAAACATGATATATAAAGACAAATAAAACTTGCCACAATAATTATTATTATTATATGTATATTTTAACTTCTGACATTTTTGCTACATGAATACAGAATATTGCGGGCATGAATAGTCTAAGCAAATATTTGCATGACTGATTTTACAAAGATGTATACAAATTTAACAATTGTACAGACATTTCACAATCTCACAGTTCTGTGAAATAACCCATTTCTGACACTTTCTTACAATATTTAGTCCTTATTATTATTAATATATTATTATCATTATTATTATTATTATTATACAGCTTCTCATTGATCCCATATACTAAGGTAATTTATCCAATTATTTCCTTAATTGGACAGGTGTCGTTGATATGGGATTAATTATGCAGCTATATAATTAATAGGTCATGGGATTTCATGCTCCCCAATCAAGAAATAATTAGACTAGAAAAATTCCTCTGACTGCCAAATTGGACTCGGCCTATGGCCTCATCCAATTTTGTCAGTCCTCAGAGTTTTCCTCGTCCAATTATTTCTTAATAGACCTTATTCGTGGTGTGACAATGTTTTCCCAATTCAGTATGACGAACCTCAAGGGGATTCATTTTCTTTTGTTTTATCCCAAAGGATACGAAAGGAATTACGATGATATCCCGACGAGTTTCAAAACAATAGCTCTTCATTCCCCCAGAGGTTTGTCACGCTGAATTGGGAAAACATTGTCACACCACAAATAAGGTCTATTGGACAGCATGGAGTCCTATTACATATACTTATTATTATTATTATCATTAATATACAAAACACTTTTCACAAACCTGGCAAGCAAAGTGGTGGCAAACTATTGAAAACCTGTGAAGAAACTGGAAACATTACTCCTCCTCCAGGCAAAACTGACATTGAATGTCTAGTCTTGATCTTCTTCTTCTTAACCGGAGGAGTAGCTACAACTGCTCCAACCTGGTAGAATGGGCCACCTGGTGATAACAATCTCTTTAGTACTTTTTAAAGACTTTTGCTTGAGTTTTTTTGCTTTGAGCTAAAAAAAATTAGGACTCACTAGTCCATACGCTAGTGGATTATTCAGGTATCTAGGCTAGTAGATTACTCCACTGTGGATTACTTTGTGAGTTACTTTATGCCAATGACCTATTGCTCTTGTGGAAAACTAGAGACTATGTGTATCTTTAAAAAAACTTACGATCTTTAACATAAATTTAATATCCATTCCAGTACAAGTCACCTAGAGTACATTAACCACTGATATGATACATACCATCTATATTGCTTTCTGTATTAGGGAACATTGCTGTCTGACCAGACAAGGCACCTAAAACAAAGGCTTTAAAATCGGTGCTGTAAAGTGATGAAGCACTGGAGTTGACCTTGACTTTACGTTTCTTAAAAATAATAAATCATATAAAATGTCAAATAATTAATAACATATAAGGCACTAGGAGGTTGGATGATGGTTTAGAGCAACAAGTACTGCAGAGGATATAATCAAAGATGTGAACAATGGAATCATGACAGTCTGAAATTTGAATTCAAATCCCTAACTGAATACAATAATCTTAATTTTAAAGATTGAAAAACAGAAACAAAGAAGAAGAAGAAGAAGAAGAAGAAGAAGAAGAA